GGCCCCATTCAAATTTTCGTTCTTTGTCATCATTGTTTGCCACGTATCAAGTCGCATAACGTGCCAACTCCTCGAACTTTGCTACGTATTGGCTCACCATCATCTTGCGTTGTTCTAGGTTCTAAAATTCACGGATTCTTTTTTGCTTGATTGTGTTCGGGAAGTACTTCCTCAAAAAAAACTCCTTAAACTATGCCTATGTCATTGTGGTGATCTCCCTCGATTCCCGAATTAGGGCCCACCAATGATCTACTTCCCCTTCTAGTTGGTAAACTACTAGAGCAATCTTATCAATATATTGAGTTATTCCCATCGTATTGAACATCTTTTCAATTTATCGGATCCAGTTTTCAGCAATTTTAGGATCAATTTCACCAGTGAAGATTGGCGGTCTCTGTTTGTGAAACTCGGAGAATAGATGTGTCCTCTCATTCTGACGTGTTCTCCTCAACCTTCCTCATTCATTCCAAAATTTGATTTCTGACATTCTCGAGTAACTCTGTAGCAGATACAGGGGCATGGTCGTGATTGTTGACCCTAGGTGCCCCATTCCCTGTTTATATTGGCATCATCATTGTGGTTGGCGGTATTGTTGTTGCATACTCATTTGTTTGCTCTTGTATGGTTCACTATCTGCCAAATGCGCAGCACAAAGAAAGGCGAGAAACCGAGTGAAAACGGCGTTATCGGGAATTAAGATTTTAACGTAATTAATCTATAATTACAGGGTCTAATAATAAATACTAGGATTTTAAAGGTGATTATTAATCTACTGGGGTTGATTAGGGTTTACTTGGATTAATCTGCAAAGGGTTTAAAATGCAATTAAGCAAAAATTCAGGGGCTTTATTGAAAGAAACTCAAGGTCAGGGATTTAAAACTAATTACAAAAATTAGGATCTCTACAAAAAGTCATGCCAAAGAGAGTGAATCAGTCAAATGCAACGTATGTTCGCATAATCGCAAGAAGTAAACTACTTAAAAGTAAATTGAACCAAAGAGAAAAAAAGAAATTACTAGGCCAACACACTAGCTTAATAGTACAAATGTATGTGTAACAGCATATACACCACCAAACTTGGCCTCTGAATCATGGAAACATTAATAGCTCTGCAAACTTAATCAAGAACTTATCTTAAATGTGGAGTTTCTAATTAGCTTCATATATAGCCGATCAAAACATTACCATAAATTACTATAACAACTCATGGTCTAACTTTGTCAATAACTCTTGGTGAGAATTTTTCTAGAGAGAGAATGAAGACCCAGCCATGGGTTTAACGGTAAGATCCAGTTTTGGAGCCAAACAAGTCTGTCAAGCTATTTAGGACATCTTGTACATAAACATATAAATGCAAATATTTATTATCTTGCAACAAATATTATTTTTCATGCTCATGATCAACAAGTTTTGAACAACGTTTGTGCGAATTCAACAAGTTGGTAGCTATTCGGCATGACCGTGGCATTGTCGAATGACCAATGTGCTGCCAAGGGCAATGAGTTGGGATCTACAATAGTTTTGTGTTTGCTTTTTTGATTTCCAAGAACACTTATAGAGAGAGAAAATCAAGCCTCAATTGTAGATCCATTACCTTCATCATTCGAAAAAATCTGTGAGCATACATATATAGACATATACATATATACATATACATAGATATCAAAGTTGAACTTGAATCAGAAATATAATAAAAAATGAAGAAGACAAAGACCCAATTGTGGGTCAGTTTTTCCTAGAAAGAGATTTTTTTAAACTTGATTTTGTATATAGTGAGATTACTAATCTTGGTGTTTAGATCATATTTACTTATAGTACACTAGTCCGAGCACCTTAAGGGTGGTGTTTGCTCTTCTCTTCATTGAAATTCTTAGCTCTTTTCCACAGACGGTGCCAATTGTGAGACCGGAAAAATCCTTTCACGTGGATTGTAGAGATCCAACGAAGAGATGAGCTTTGCCCCTATAGATTTGCAAAGATGAGCATGGTCGGCGCCACCCAACCGGGGTTGCCGGCCAGAGACACTCCAATGATAGAGTTAGTCACTAGATCCAAAGAAAGAAGATGAAGGAAATAAAGAGTGTCTGTGTGCTGTGTGGAGCAAAGAGATCATACCTACACTCCATAAGGTGCCTTCCTATTATAGATGGGAAATGGGCCGAATAAGCCCAATAGTTGGCCCCTTTGCAGGCCTTATTTGGGTTAGCCCAATAAACTGATATATGTTTTTTCTGGCTCCCACAGGTATAAATTTAAAATTTGGGAGACGTGGAAAATTATAGAGACACTCACAATAAATATAATATACTAATAAATATAGTCTACTAATTTATTTTTCTAAATAATTTTTTAGATAATTTTTCTTTTAAATAAATAATATTGTTGTAATTTAGAGTTCACATGCGCATGCATGTAGTATTATAATATAATTCTGAAATAGTACCTCACTATCTGTATTTTTTTTTTATTTTTTATAACGGAATGTTCTGAGCCAATTTATGTGCACCTCGATTAATCCTGAACCCTGAAGTTATCTGTGATTTTTTCATCAAAATTAGGGGTTCCTACCAATGTCGTACTTTGCCTTAAATTCCCATAGCATCATCTCTCTTTTCATCACCATGCTTCCTCTTTCTCTTCCTCCTAAGGCTGCAAACGAGCCGAGTCGAGCTGAGCTTTAGTATGTTTGGACTTGTTTATTAAGATTTTAACGTTATCTGTGATTTTTTCATCAAAATTAGGGGTTCCTACCGATGTCGTACTTTGCCTTAAATTCCCATAGCATCATCTCCCTTTTCATCACCATGCTTCCTCTTCCTCCTAAGGCTGCAAACGAGCCAAGTCGAGCTGTGCTTTAGTATGTTTGGACTTGTTTATTAAGATTTTAACGAACTTCAGCTTGAGCTCAATAAAAATTTAACGAACCGAACTCAAGTCGAGTTGGCTTAGGCTTGACTCGAGCTCGAGCTTGTTCACGAGCCTTAACAAGCCAAAAAATTTATAAATTCATACTTGCGTATGAGACTAAAATTACAATTAAAACTTTGATTATACAATATATATATAAACATTCTAAAAAAAAAAGTCAATATTTTACCAAAATAATAATATATACTACCACTGTTATATAAATGTACTATCTATAGTTAACTATTATTTACATTTATATTTTGTAAATACATAAATAACATATTTATCTTATTTTTTTATTATTTTTTTATACATATTTTTATATTATTGAATATATAAATAATAAATATTAAACGAGTCAGCTAATGAGCCAAGCTTTAGAATATTTGGAGTTGTTTATTAAAAATTTAATGAGTTCAAGCTCAAGCTTGAATGCAAAAAAGATTTAACAAACCGAGTTCGAATGAGCTCTTACCGAACCGAACTCGACCCTGTTCACAAATGGTTATGTTCATTTGCAGCCCTAAATCTAACACCTCTTTTCAACGAGGTGGGGTGGGCCGAGGATCACACTTTCCATCCTCGATCCCCAATGGTAAAAATGTTCCCTTCTCCTACCCCGATCCTCGCCGGGGAACCTATCACCGTTCCGTTTCCCACCCCCTAACGGGGATCGGGTTTCCCCAACCCCAAAAATTTCCCGACCCAAATCTGTTTCAACAACATCAACAATAACTTTCAACATCAACAAAATCATCAGCAACAATAGATTAACTACCAAAAAAAAAAAAGGACAGATAGAGACACACACACATACATGTATACATACACATCAACATAGATCTGAGTGTGCATCATCAACACAGATCTGAGATCTGTGTGTCATCAAACAGATCTAAGATCGGCGATGGTGACTGCGACGATCGAAGGAGGAGATCGGCGGTGATAGACGACAGAGGTGGATGACGGTGACTGCAACGAACGACGGAGGAGGACGGTGAAAATGAGAGAAGGGGATAGAGGAGGTGGCGGCAACAGGAAGAGAGAGGCAGCAACGATGGAGGTGGAGTGGACGACAAAGTCGACGGAGGTGAAGCCGTGCTGCAAGGTGGACGGCGACTCCGGCGTTGCGGACAGAGGCGGTGGCATTGAAGAAGAGTAGAGGTGCGAGAGTGAGAGAGAGTAGAGGGAAGAGAGAGAGAGAGGGGGTCATAACTTAATAGAGGGATATATATAGTAATTTTACTTCGGGGGGTAATGGGAATGGGGTCGGGGTCGAGGCCGTGTTCGGGAAACATATCACCATTCCCGGCCTAAAAATCATTGGGGGTTCATTTTTTAATACCATCCCCTGACCATCAGGGCTATTTTTCGAGAAAAAACTGCTTTAATCGAGGTTGAAGGGGCGGGTCCCCATCAGGCCGGGTTCAAATTTCCATCCCTACTTGTTACAACATCAATACGTGTTGCCCGCCCTTTTCATGAGACCATATTATGCAACGACTCGTAGATGGCCCAAAAGAGGGTGGTGGAGATTGGTATGTGTAGATTTTATATTAAGGCCCAACATTAATATGTAGAGATTTATATTTTCATTACTAGTGGTGATATTTCAAAACAACCAAAAAAAAAAAACAAAACAAGGTAATAATGAACCAGAAACCCAAAAAAAGAAAAAAAGAAAAAAAAAACAATGGTCACAATCTATATATATAAAAGAAAATGATATACAAACTTTTTTTTAAACTTACTTTTTAGATTCAGTAATGTGTAAGAGATATGATTGACTAATAATTAGATAATATATTAGAGAGAGAGAGAGTTGTCATAAATATTATAATTGATTATCACATCATTCGATTTGAAAAGTGAGTTTAGTTTTTGGGTTAGAATAGCAATGCCCATATATATATATATATTAATTAACATTAGTATGTGGAGATTTTTATATTAGGACCAAACATGTACCTAGAGCTCTTTTTATTCATTGCAGTGGCATTACTACAATTTATTTTCTTCCATCTATGCCAAATTTATTACAAGGTACTGAAGAGCTAGCTTCCATGTCTGCTAATTTTTTTTCAGCATGCTAGCAGCGGAGATTATTACCAGACGAAACACCAAGTTGGTTGCAATAGTCAGTGTAGTACTTAACACGAGCATTGACTGCATCCGGTCTATTACCATTGCATTCACCACCGTTGATGGCTTGGATTGTTGCACCAAATCCAGAATTCATTTTAGAGTGAACATTGTTCATCCAAAACCACAAGGCAGTCTTGAACGACACGACTGGATCTTTTGCCACAGTTTCCGGGTTGTTTAGTCCATCGAACCCAATGCTTCTGCTGGCAGGATCGTAGTTGTAGTTCCATGACAGCTGAAGAGGACCTCTACCATAGTATTGCTTGTTTGGTGCACATGGGTACTGTGTATTTGATCTGTCATAGTAGTTCTTGTTGGGTATACCTCCTTTGTGGAGTTTGGAACCCAATTGGTTTATTAAAACAATTCTAATTTGGTTTGGTTTGAGTATAATATATTTTAATATATTATATCTAATTTGTGAAAACCCAATTCAGTTTGGAAACAACTAAGGTTTTGATAAAAAATCCCCTAGATTCACAATATATATTTTTGGTATTGTTTTTCCCAATCAAGGTGCAGCGGCAGCAGTGAATTCTTCCGTGAGGGAATTGTGCTTGCCTATCAATTTCATATATAATATATATATCCTTCTGTGAGGGAATTATGCTGGCTAGGAAATTCAATTGGTGAATTCAAAGCTTGGTGGAATTTAATTCTATGGGTTTATTTTCGGCAGTCATTGTGTGACTAATTTGGTTCGTTATTTTGGGTCTTCTTCAACTCTGGTTCTGAAGATTTTTGTTCATCTATTTGGTGAGGTCTTTTCTCTTATTTATTTGTGATTATTTGGAATTCACCTAAGGGTGGTTTTGTGAGACCATTCGTGTCTCGTTTGTGATCGTATGGAAACTATTTGGTTGATAGTAGAATCGGATTTCGATCCCGTGGACGTACCTCACATTGAGGGAACCACGTAAAAATTCTTGTGTTGCTTTTGATTTAATCTTTTTGCATTAGTTTTTTCTACCCATTGATTGATTTACTTGTGGGGAATCATATATTTTCCCTAACAACTGGTATCAGAGCTTGCGGTTTATTTGGGTTTATTTATTTGTGTAAATCAATGGAGGGGAATGTGGGTCGTATGTCTAGCTTCAATGGAAGCAATTGGGTAACTTGAAAAACTAAAATGGAGGACCTATTATTTTGTAAAGATTTGTATGGACCCATTGAGGGTGATGGTGGCAAACCTGATGATATGAAAGATGATGAGTGGAAGAGGCTTAATCAAAAAGCCGTTGGTGTTATCCGTCAATGGATTGATGATAGTGTGTTTCATCATGTTGCAACTGAAATTTCGACACATGATTTATGAAAAAAATTAGAAGGCCTTTATGATAGGAAATCAGCCACAAATAAAGCTTTTCTGTTTCGTAAGTTGGTTAATTTAAAATATAAAGAGGGCAGCCCTATGACAGAACATCTGAATGAAATAAAGAGTATTGTTAACCAACTTGCTTCTATGAAAATTATTTTTGATGATGAGTTGCAGGCTTTGATGTTACTTAGTTCTTTACACGAAAGTTGGGAGACTTTGGTTGTGACAGCTAGTAATTCGGCACCCGATGGAGTTGTCACAATGGGCCAAGTCACTAGTAGCTTGTTGAATGAAGAAACTAGAAGAAAATCAGCGGGTTCCTCTCATTCATAAGCATTTGTTGTGAGAGGCCGATGCAAAACAAGGGGGAGGAATAAGACTCCTCATGGTCGTGATCAAAGCCGTGACAAATCAAGAGATGGTTCTTTTTCAAAGAAAGATATTGAGTGCTATTATTGCCACGAGAAAGGGCACATGAAGCGAGAATGCCGAAAGCTCAAGAACAAGGAGAAAAGGCGTGACAAAAGTGTGGATAAGAAGCAAGAAGACACAACAACAATTACTACCGATGATCTCATGGTCATTTGTGAAGATGATTGTATCAATTTTGTGGGCCAAGAGAGCAATTGGGTGATTGATTCTGGTGCTTCTTTTCATGTGACTTCTCGAGTTCATTTCTTCACTACCTACACCAAAGGAGATTATGGTTCTGTTCGAATGGGTAATGAAGATTTGTCCAAGATTATTGACATGGGTGATGTTTGCTTGGAAACAAATTTAGGCTGCAAGTTGTTGCTTAAAGATGTGAGGCATGTTCCCGACATTCGCATCAATTTGATCTCTACTGGGAAGCTAGATGATGAAGGCTTCAACAACAAATTTGGTGATGGAATATGGAAGCTCACAAAGGGTTCTTTGGTGGTGGCTAAGTGCAAGAAGACTCATACACTTTATTCGATGCAAGGAAAAATTTGTAAAGGTGTTGTCAATACACTTGAAGATGATACTTCTACCGAATTGTGGCACAAACGGCTTGGCCATATGAGTGAAAAGGGGTTACAAGTTTTGTTCAAGAAAGAGCTTCTACCCGGTTTGAAAGGTACACATCTCAAAACTTGTGTTCATTGTTTGGCGGGTAAACAACATAAAATTTCTTTTCATAAAAATGTTGCCTCTAGAAAAGAAAATGTTTTGGAGTTGATTCATTCGGATGTTTGTGGTCCTTTAAAAGTTAGAACACATAGTGGTGCACTTTATTTTGTTACTTTCATTGATGATTATTCAAGGAAAGTTTGGGTTTTTCTACTAAAAACTAAAGATCAAGTTCTAGAAGTATTTAAGCATTTTCAGGCCATGGTTGAAAGAGAAACAGGGCAAAAATTGAAGTGCATCTAATCAGATAATGATGGTGAATACATTGTGCCATTTGATGAGTATTGTCGCAGCCAAGGTATTCGGCACCAAAAGACAGTTAAGAAGACTCCTCAACAAAATGGCGTTGCCGAGAGGATGAACTGCACCATTGTGGAAAGAACAAGGTGTTTGCTTTCACAAGCTAAATTGCCAAGATCTTTTTGGGGTAAGGCAATGAGGACAGAGATTGACGTGATCAATTTGTCTCCTTGCTATCCTTTGAATGGTGATGTTCCTGAAAGAGTTTGGACTAGCAAAGATGTGTCTTATGAGCACTTGAGAGTGTTTGGTTGCCGAGCTTTTGTTCACATTCCAAAGGATGAGAGGTCCAAGCTTGATAGTAAGTCAAGACAATGTATTTTTCTTGGCTATGGGCGTGATGAATTCGGGTATAGATTGTGGGATTCGGTCGACAAGAAAGTCATTCGAAGCCGTGATGTTGTATTTCTTGAAGACCAAAAAATTGAAGACTTTGGTAAAGGGAATCAACCGGAGCCAAAAACTAGTGATCTCATTGACATGGATCCATCTCCTTCATCTTCGGTGGATGATGAAAATGGAGGAGATATGCAGCCACCTATTGAAGATGTAGAAAATGATGCTAATCCTAATGAAGTTGAGCCAGAAATTGAGGAAGAGCATCTAACTCAAGAACCGCCACCACAACTTGAGTTGAGGAAATCTACAAGGGACCGACAACCTTCAAGAAAGTATCCTCCGAATGAATTTGTGTTGATTTCCGATCAAGGGGAGCCTGAGAGCTACCAAGAAGCAATTGAGCATACAAAGAAAGGTGATTGGAAAAAGGCCATGGACGAGGAGATGAATTCCGTGCTTGAAAACCAGACTTATGATTTAGTGAAGTTTCCTAAAGGGAGGAAAATTCTGAAAAATAAGTGGGTTTTCAAATTGAAGAATGATAGCAAGAATCTGAGATACAAAGCACGTCTTGTTGTGAAAGGTTTTGGACAAAAGAAAGGTATTGACTTTGATGAGATTTTCTCGTCAGTTATGAAGATGTCTTCTATTCGGGTTGTACTTGGCATGGCTGCAAGTATGAACCTTGAAGTTGAGCAACTTGATGTGAAGACCGCATTTCTTCATGGTGATCTTGAAGAAGAAATTTACATGGAGCAACAGGAAGGTTTTGTGGAAAAGGGGAAAGAGAAATTTGTTTACAAATTGAAGAAAAGTTTGTATGGCCTCAAGCAAGCCCCGCGGCAATGGTACAAAAAATTTGTTTTTTTCATGATGAATAATGGTTTTTCTAAAACCACTTCGGACCATTGTGTGTTTGTGAAAAATTTTCCGGATGGTAAATTTATTATTCTTTTGCTTTATGTTGATGACATGTTAATTGTGGGTCAAGATTCTACCATGATTAACAAGTTGAAGTTAGAGTTGAGTAAATCTCTTGCTATAAAAGATTTGGGACCGGAAAAGCAAATACTTAGTATGAAAATTATTCATGATCGCAAAGAGGGGCTGATTTGGTTATCTCAAGAAAGCTACATTGAGAAAGTTGTTGAGAGGTTTAACATGAATAAAGCAAAGCCGGTTGGTTGTCCGCTTGCGGGTCACCTCAAGCTTAGTTCGAATCAATGTCCTACAAGTGAGAAAGACAAGGAAGAGATGTTGAAAGTTCCTTATGCTTCAGCAGTTGGTTCTTTGATGTACGCCATGGTTTGTACAAGGCCAGATATTGCTCACGCTGTTGGTGTGGTGAGTCGTTTTCTTTCTAATCCGGGTAAAGAACATTGGGCAGCGGAAAATGGATTCTGAGGTATCTTCGAGGGACTTCGAAGGTGTGTTTGTGTTTTGGGGATGGTAAGTTGATACTTGATGGGTTCACAGATTCTGACATGGCCGGTGAAGTTGATTCTAGGAAATTTACTTCGGGGTATTTGATGACTTTTGCAGGGGGAGCTGTGGCATGACAATCTAAATTACAAAAATGTATTACTCTCTCAACTACCAAAGCTGAATTTATTGTCATTACGGAAGCTTGCAAAGAAGAGTTATGGTTGAAGAAATTTTTGCAAGAGTTAGGTTTGAAGCAAGAAAAGTATGTGCTTTATTGTGATAGTCAAAGTGCTATTCACTTGAGTAAAAATTCTACTTTTCATTCGAGATCGAAACACATTGATGTGAGATACCATTGGATTCGTGATGTGTTAGATCCGAAATTGTTACAACTCGAAAAGGTTCACACAGATGATAATATTTCAGATATGTTGACTAAGACTTTGTCGAGGGACAAACATTTAAAGTATCAAACTTTGGCGGGTATGGTTGATCTCTCCACCTAAGTCGGTAGGGGGAGAATTGTTGGGTATACCTCCTTAGTGGAGTTTGGAACCCAATTGGTTTGTTAAAAGAATTCTAATTTGGTTTGGTTTGAGTATAATATATTTTAATATATTATATCTAATTTGTGGAAACCCAATTCAGTTTGGAAACAACTAAGGTTTTGATAAAAAAAAAAAAAAACCTAGATTCACAATATATATATTTGGTATTGTTTTTCCCAATCAAGGTGCAGTGGCAGC